AATCATGTTGAGCAAAATGGTAATTACAAAAATAATTTGTTTTCTTATGCAGAATCTCGCAATCAGAGCAGAATCCCGGCATAGAGCCACTTGTGCGGCTTGTCCCCAGCTAGAAATCTTTTCACATGCATTGCCAGCGGTTGCCAGTCCAAGGCAAGTGCCACCCTAATGAACTGCCGCCACTTGAGGGTCTCCAGTAGCGACCCCGGCTCGAGGCACAGAATAGAAAGAAAAAAATCAGCAATTTAATGTTGCATTTTATCGCCCGACGAAGACGCTGCCTTATCGCAGGCAGCCGGGCTCGGGGCAAAGGTGAAGTTGATGAGGTGGCTGCCATTGGCATTGCGCGACTGCCTGTTGTTGTATCTATTTGGTTAGAGGGGGCAATGTAGCGTGTTTGGTGGTGGCAGCTACACGGTTGTCTCGGTTCGTGTCCGGGTAATTTGGCAGCAGCTTTGTATAAATTTTTTATAGGTAATACACTCAAGGAAACGGCACTTAAAGTCATCATTACAAGCGTTTTTGCAGCAATAACAGCCCATCTTGCACATAGTTTTCGCAATTTACTTGATCCCTGGCGAACGGCCGGGAGTCCCAGGAGTGCCGCCTGCGTATACATTGGTAACGGCTGCCGTCAAGTGCCCAAAACAGTCGATTAGACATATTTAAGCCAGCTTCGAATGGCATTTTCATCATTTCCTATGGCCCATTAAAGCCACCGGCTACCACCTGACAACTTTCAGGGGAATATATGAAAAACTTGCGAAAGGCTCGCATCTTTAGCATTTACCACTCAAACCTAATTGCTGCAGACAATGCAAAATGTACGGCACCAATGTCTAGACTCTAGACAATCCGCCCGCCATTCAATTGAGTTACTCGCATTTACTTATACGCCCCTGTGATTTCGTATAGCTTCTAATAATGCAATTGCTTTTTGATTTGCACTTTGGCCGACGTTCGGTGCTCGCTTCCATTTTGATATTAGTCGACGGCCCGCGGGGGCAACGGGCGCATTTCATAAATCCTTGCTTCATTTTCGCTACATTAAACGTCAAAATATGAACCCATTTGGGCAACATTTTGCACAACGCTGCGTAGGGCAAGCAGCGCCCAGAGTTGCTGCCGCCACTAGCCCATTAGAACTACAACAGCAACAAAGGCAGCAGCAGCCGGAACAACAAAAGGAGCTACGCTAAGGTCCGCACACGGCCAAGCAATATTATGGCAATAACGAAAGGACCAAAAGAAAACTCATACAAAAAGAGCATAGCGAAAGATGAACGGATATGCTCGAATTCCAGATGCACTGAAAGATTTTTTTCCCTATTCCGAGAAGCTAGGAAATAACTAAGGACAGCTAAACATGCCTAACAATCTTAACGTCGCGTAAATATATTGGAAAAATAATATATTATTAATTTGTATTAATTTCAATTGCTTGCAAATATTATATTAACATTTACATAATTGGTCCCAGTGTCCCACCATAAATAACTTATAACTTATAAAATTCATATTTAACTTAATAATTATTTTTTGGTTTTTATATGGTTTTACTGTTATGCATCACATTTTTAATAAAACACATAACTAAAAGTAATCAAAAATTTCTTAACAAAAGACGAAAATAAAAAAAATACAAAACATGTGTAATATATATAGTGAGAATACAATTAAATTTTTATTGAAAAAAGTTATAAATAAAACTTTATTGCGGTTTTGAAAAGATCAGGTTTAAATAGATATATTAGCACAAATCATGCTTCTGTAGCAATATGTCTTCATAATAGTTTTCCTTGTGAAAATTGCACGCATATTATTTAGTTATGTTCGGTCCCTAGTTATACAACATCTATAAAAATTATTTATTTACTCTGAAATAATTAAATAACTAATTATTTAAATTCATAATCTTAACTTAATTAATTATCTAATCTTAACCATAAGCTATGTATATTTTAGAGCGTAATAATAATTTATTTAGATACATTGCAAATTAGAATTGACAGTTAGTTCTTAATATACTTATTATAAGAACTGAACTTCCCAGAATACCACGATCAAGAACTGCGAGCTTATACTTAAATTGAAAGTATAAATTGTGTGAGATGCCTGCGTTGCCCACACTTTTTGCTTTTTTTAGGAAATTACTTAAATGGTGCTCATATTTAAGAAAAAGTACATTTACTGAACTATAATAATATTTCAATTCATTCTTACATGAGGGAGCTTACTTTCATCTTTCCCTTTTTCCTTCTTTCAAACTTAAAACATTGTCCAAGTGCTGAGCCTTAAAGCAAAAATTCTTAAAGTTGTTTTAAATGGTTCGTAAAACTCTATCCGTGGTATTGCCCAATGATATGCATAGAATCCTTGGCAGGCAGCTCGCGAAGCAATTTCATCTTAACATGCATGAATTTTCACTGAAACGATTCCACCGAGTATCGTTCCACTTGTCCATTGTCGATGCCACTGCGCACGTTCCACAACAGCGGCAATAACAACAGCAACAACAACAATAACAACTCATATGGGGCATGAACCATGGGAGTTTCCCGTTGCAATTACGAGTATTTTTTAACTGCTTATTGCGTTTTGGTCGTCGTCGAACACAAACACGAACGCATATCGCATACAGCTCCATGCCCACAGTAGTTACATTACCAAACCCCAGCCCTCGGCCCACTCACCCCCGGAGACCGTATCGGCCACAGCAACAAGCAACACAACGAACTGAATTTCATTCGATTTCGATGCGAGGAGGATCTCAAAAGCTGTCCAATAAAAATTAACGACATACGCACACAAAGTGCGCAAAATATTGAACCGAGTGCGTGGGGGTTCTGCAGGACCGTTCGGCATTGCGATTTAAAATTGAAATTTTAATTTTGTTGAAAAAGCATTTGTATTGCAAATATATTTTGCCCAAATTAATTGAACATGGCTTTAAGTTATAACTATACAAATTGTTAAATACAGCGAGCCGAAGCGAAGTAATCCCTATATATAAAACTGTTTGGCCTGGCTGACCGATTGGTGATCAACGCACAGTCAAAACTCAAAGAGTTAAGCAGCTCAAATGATCACATTAGTTACCTTACGCTAAGACGGGGTTTTCGGATATTACATCCGCAAGTACGGAAAACTCCCAAAAAAAAATAATTGTATGAAGCATTTTTGTAGACCATTCAATCGGCTTCAAACTCAAGGATCTTTTTTCAAATTTATTTCAGAAATGTTTCAAAGTCGATTCTTCATTGATATTAATAGGTGTCAAAGATTTCGTAAGTGAAATTTTAAAAATTATAAAGCAAGTTAATATCCAAGATCTTTTTGAAAAATCATTTGCAGCTTATTTCACATTGTTCGCAGAATCTTAGCTTTAGTTTAATCCTACATAAAAACATAAGGAATACGTGTTACAGCGATTTTGAAACTTTGGCAAATTGATGGAAGATTTGCAAGTTTTGTATTTACCATCGGATTGCCCGAAACTCATTTGTGAAAATTTATTTAATACGTTTTTTGCCAGTAATAGATTTAAGGAACGAAATTTTAATTTTCGGCTCCATGATTCTCACCACAAGACTAAAATGGGCAGAAACCTTGGTTTCAACATTTGGCTCTTTATGCTATGAACTTTAAACCTATTTTCCAATATCTATATAAAATAAAACTGTAGATGTTGATTTCAAAATATTAGGGGTAGATTTAAATTGCCTACGGTTTGGAAATGGGTAATATTCTGTTCAAATATTGATTATAAGATTATAGAGTTTTTTATATGGCTTTAACATGCGATGTTATCTATGCTAAAAACAAGTGTACCGATTGGTGAAATATTGATTGATATTTAACACGGAATGTTATCTGAAATATTTCACTGCTTTAACAGAATACACTAAAATGTGTCCGGCTAAGAAATAATCGTATTCTCTAGAAACACAACATCATTAAAAATCGCTGCTTCACTTTTCTCAATTAAGTGCACGAATATCGTAATTTTTCGACTAAAATCAAATTTATTTCAATGGGTGGAATCTGCCGAAACTGCAGTAAAGTTGGTTGGGGGTTGGAGTGTAGGGGGTAGAGCAACAGAAGCAGCACAAGAGGTCATAACAATATTTTCACGTTTTGCCTAAGTCCGGAATGAGTTTGTGCAATTTATATGGCTGACAGCCCCTGCCACCGTATCTGTTCCTGTGCCAGCTCCTTTTTCTGCTACACCTCCTGCTTCAATGTCGACCCATCCAATCCAAAACGCGGCCGAGCCCAGAGGACGACCAACAGGCAGCAGACAGCGGAGCTGCCGCCATTATTTTGATACTCAGAGCTATTAACGTTAATTTTCGTTAGTTACGTAATACGTATTCGAAAGCACCTTACACATTCACACACACACAAACACACACTCTCCCGTCCGCAGCATCCACATATTCAGTTTCATTACGCAAGCAACCCAACCTCATGCTGGAGCTCTTCTTTCGGCCGGGAGTAAACAAGCGTCTACCACGTGATTGCGTGTGGGCGGGTCGTAGTCGGACCCAGGACCGGGCTCCCACAGCCACCCGTTTCCTCACCGGTGCCCTTTCTGGCCGGAGGCCGTTGGCATTAAAGAGATTTACGAGTACATGATTTTGCATGTTCGGTGCCCCTGATGCCATTTAGATTCGCTTAGGTACATTTTCATCCTTGCCACCCACACAAGTTCGTTTAGACAAACACACACATATACACACACACTCGCAGTGCGTGTGTGTATTTGGGTACGCATTTAATGGCCCATTAGTGCTATCAAATACGCATAAATATTTGCACTTGCCAGAAGTTCACGCAGGCAGAGATACAGATACATATGTGCACTTGCAGATACAGTTAAAAGTGACTCTGGTTTTTAGCCAAGGGACTTAGGGCCCACTGAAATATTTGCAGTTGCAGCACCCTTTCCTGGACAATTCAACTTATCGGAGGAAAACAGAATAATCAAATAAATGGAATACTCTTTTCAACAGCAATGGGTATGAATTTTACTATCTATACGTACAAAACTAATAATAAATATAATAATCATAGTTAATGACAATTAGAAAATGAAGCATATATAATCTAAACTAACCATTAATTTAGTTGCTAGCAAAGCGTCATTTAAAATGATTCATCGCTAGGATTCTCATCATTAAAGACACCCCGCTTCAATATCCGCTGTACTTGGTCTGATGTTATGTTGTTGGTCTCGGGTATGAAAATGCCGACAAATAGTAGCCCCAACATGCAGATAATTAGCATAAAATAGAATATTGAAAAATGGCCCACACTGAACGAGTACCCAATGTTCATTAGGGTGGCAAACAGCCAACCTATTGTGGCAGCGATGGCACAGCCAAACGGCCGCACGTGTTCTGGCATAAGCTCGACGTAGATAATCCAAGTGACCGGACCAAAGCCCATTGAGAATGATGTGATGAAAATGAATAGGGAGAGCAAGGCTGGCCAGCGCCATGCTTCTGACTGCATCCATTTAAACCAAACGCACAAATGGAGCGAAGTCATGAACATGACCACCGCGGAGAGCAGCAACAGCGAACGGCGACCAATGCGATCGACCGTCAGTAAACAGATCAAGTGGCCAAGACACATGGACACACACAGCCACATCACATAGATATTGAACCTCGAATCGGTCATCTTCATTAGCAGATCTCTTATGTGGCCCATGATGATAACGCCGCCGGACATATGATATAGCATTAACAGTATAGTTGCCCGAGGCACACTGCGCTGACTGATTTTGCTATGCATGAAGCCCCAACAACTTCGATGCAGTTTCGAGTCGTTTCTCCTTGTCGTCTGTATTAGCAACTGTAGCTCAGTGTTTAGATCATATTGATCACCGCGCAGCCATCGCATGGAGGTCTGAGCTTTTTCTAATTGTCCGTGTAAGACATAGTAGCTCGGCGACTCGGGTATAAGCACAACGGAGAGACAGAGAATCGCCATCAGCGTACAGGTAGCGTTGGCGTACTCTACACTAAGGATCTCGACCAGTATGTTATTAAAGATTGCGCCGTAAACAATAGCGCCATAAAACACGCTGATCATGGCCCCACGCTGATGCAGCCGGCTGATTTCTGCATTGTACACGGGCACTGCCACGCAGAGTGCGGCGCCACAGATACCCTGTATACAGCGACCCACGAATACCATGTAAATGTTATTGGCGAAAATCAGTAGGCTCCAGCCTAAGACGTAGGGGAATAGCTGGAAGAGCATGACGGACTTGCAGCCATACATTTTCATCAATACACCCATGGGCATGCAGAAGCATGCAGCACCCAGCGGCAGCATTGAACTAGCCCATTCCCACTGATCTAGCGTTGGCTTAACGCTGAAAGTCTTTTGAGATACCACACTCCTTCCAATGTTCGTCCAGCCGATTGTGGTGCCAAAACAGAATACGCCAAAATTGCTAATTGCCCCGGCCAAATACTGGTGTCCAGCCCTATTTGCTGAATTGTTCGGGGGTATCTGTCCCTTTGACTCAATTTCCGTAATTGTGACGCTTGTACTCGGTTCCATAATAGGCTGCATCTCGCCTATTGTCGCGATTATAAAAATATCTGTATTATAAAAATTAATTAAAAATAAAATTTTTAAAAATTTAAAAAAAAATCATTTTCTTTATTTGAAACTAAGAGGCCTGCTTGGGTCGAAGTTAATAGAAAATGGTTAATATATTATTAAATCCTTGTAAAGGGTATTCAATTTTTGTTATAAAATGTGTAACGCATAGAAAAAGACATCTCCGACAGATAAAGTATATATCCTGGCTCAAATAACCATGACCGTCTGTCCGGCAGTCTGTCTGCCTGCTTCTATGCGAATAAGTCTCTCAGTTTTAAGGATATCGCCTTGAAACATTGCATAGGTCCGTCTTTCTGTTGCAGGCAATACAGATGTCGGAACCAGCCGGATCGGACCACTATAACATATGACTGCCATAGGACCGATCGGTATTGTTTGGAAAAGATTCTTGTTTATCAAGATATTTTGCCCAAGCTCGGCCTTTAGAAGTTTCACTACACATAGCTTCACACCTACACATAGCAAGATCTTATCAACATCGGACCGCTATATTAGAAATATAACAGCCTTAGGATCGATCGATGACCAAACTTGGTATGTATTAGATCCACTATGATCCTCATACAGGAAAGATCAGTCTAAAAGTATGTTCTTATATGGCAAAATATTCTGTTTTCCAATATATTTTCATCAAACTCAGCATTTACGAGCTGCACTATTCTCACATATCTGCAAAAGGGAAATGTCTACAAAATCTTCGGCGTACCGAAGATATCCCTTAAAATACGTTCACAAATTACATCCATTTTTATACCCTGAACCCATTAAAAATGGGTAAGCAGGGTATATTGTATTTGTGCAAATGTATGTAACAGGCAGAAGGAAGCATGTAGGACCCCATAAAGTATATATATTCTTCATCAGCATCAATAGCCGAGTCGATTTAGCCATGTCCGTCTGTCTGTCCGTCCGTCCGTCCGTCTGGATCTCAGAACCTATAAGAGCTAGAGACTTGAAATTTTATTTATTATATTATGAATTTTAGCTGTAGGTCCTCCTAGTCCCCGCGCAGATCGAGTTTTTTTCCGATATTCGATAACTTGCCCCGTTTCCAAGTAATCGATAAAAATCGATATTGAAATCCTGTTTTTGGGCAATTGCGGTAAATAATATGAGCTAGAGTCACCAAACTTGGCATGTAGCTGCTAGAATAGTATATATATATCAAGTATCTTTCATTTTATACCTGTCGCGTGTTGGAAGAAGAGGGTTCAAAGTATCCCCTAGTCGGGAGCTCCCGACTAGAACCTCTTACTTGTTATTTTGTATATTACTTAAATATTGTATGGAATTTATCTATTAGGAGGCGGACCTGAAGGTGAGTATGGAACATGGTTGTTGGGGAGGCGTATTTGGGAAAACCCTCTCCACCTTAGCTCCATGATAGGACGTAACCCCTGAATATCGCTGGCTAGTCTGTTGGAGTGTGCGGCCAGATGATTGTTCGACAGAGATATATATATAAATTTAACTGGAACTAAAATATATACCAAGATTTCATATATATAGCTGCCAGGGATCTCTTAGACGAACATTTATTTATAACCAAAAATATCTTATAAAACTTACCGATTGCAAGTTTTCATATATGTTCAATACGTTTCAGAAAATTTTCTGTATTGCTTAAGTCAGAATACTATATTATAAATCGCTCTGCATGTTCTCCAGTTAATAACGATTAATTTTTTTTATAAATCATTTGCATAATCAATTTATTTATTCGTTTATATATCTTCCAAATGTTCGTTTAATTAAAAGTGTTTTATATTTTTATTTAAAGCTATAATTTATAATTTTATAATTCACAAATAATTTAATTCATTTGTAATTAAAGGATAAATAAAATATATAAATTTGTACATCAATTAAAATTAAAATTTTTTTTTCGTAAATTGAATTGTATTTTTAATTGGAAATCAATAAACGAATGTCTCGAATTGCTAATTAATTTCATAAAACTTTGGTCATTTTTTATTGCCACTGTACACTCGTATAGACGTCATTCTTTTTCCGTTTGCCTCCGTGGAATTACACTTTTAAATTCAGTTTCTTTTATCATTTGCATCGCCAGCGCAGCGATCGAGCCGCATTCTTAATTAACGATCAAGGAACTCGACCTGAACATTTTAATCAGCCCCCAGTCCTGGTCGCTGCTGCGCACATGGCGCTGTCGTCCATTTATTTATGGCATCTGGCAACATGGCGGTGTGGCCCAAACCATGCGAAGGAACTCTGCGGGGCAGGTAAACAAAATGAGAAATTTATCAAATTTATTGCCGGGTACGAATTGAGATATAATTCAAAGAAATTACAAAGAAGGCGCAGGCACAGTAAAAAAAATGGTGGCTTAAAAAACCAATAAATAACCAGGCCAAAACAAAAGAGTGGCTGGCGCACTCTCCTGGCTAACTGGCCTTGCAACCCGCGTTAATTCCTGATGCGCTCTGCCATTGGTCCGCTGTTACATGGCTGCTGCTCAGAAGCAATCGCTGCGACCACGACGACGACTCACTCGACGGCCTCATGCTGAGCCCGTAATTAAAAGCAATAAACTATTTTTATGGCTACTCGTATATTTGTCGCTCAGCTGCGGCCACAAACTGTCAACTGTTTGGCCCTGGTCCGATTTGCATGCGCGGGCAGCTCGTGGGAAGCGGCAACAGCGACTGCGACTGCTATGGACTCTGGTCTGAGTCTGCGGCTGAGTCTGAGGCGGGTTCTTGCACTGGACTTAACTTAGAGCTAATCCCATGGCGGCGACAGGTGACGCAGACGCATTTATTTAATTAATTAATTAATAAATGCATTTTCAATGCAGTTAAAGTGCAGCCAGTTGCTGTGCAGGTTGCTAACCACTTCCAATTCCTCAGATAATTTTCTTTGCATATATTTCAATGAGCTGCACAAAAAAAAGAGGGAGAGAGACTGAGTAGTCATCATTAATTGGACTTAATGGGCAACTAAATCATTTGACAAAATGCAAATTAATATTTATGCGATTATGCAGTTGTCGTTGCTCGTTGCTCGTTTAGTTGGACATCCAGTTGGTCTGGCTGCATTTTCAGTGTGAAACATAATTTTTGATTACTCCGCAAATAATTGTAATTTAACTATTTTTAAGTGAAGCTGACAAACAGCAAGTCCTAATAATATAATAAAAGTTGTTAAAAGCTTAGAAGGAAATTCTATTCTGCATTAGGCATGAATTGAGATTTTAATAATAAATGATAAAACATGTTCAATTATATTACAATATTTATCATATTTCTCAAGTAAAATAAAAACTAAACAAAAAATGTTCAGAGCTTTTTTAAAAAAAAAACCTTAGCTAAATTACGAAATAAACTCATATGAAAATTATTTTCTATGTTGTGTATATTTTGATTTTAAAATTAAGCTTTAGTCAATACACACATATATAGATATTTTACTTAGAAAATTACTTAGATCGCGTTAAATTGTGTATATCAAATATACAATATAATAATTTATTCAGTTAATTACTAACTGAAGATCTATCAACTATCATGTGAATAATAACTCTTCACCTTAGTTAACTTTGTATATATTTTGTAACGATACATAATATAAATTCCATGTTAAACAAGTTATTCAAAGCCTACGTACATGTGTTGAATGTTTGCTAATTATATATGCAAATTACTTGCGACTAAACTAGTCAATGACTAGCAATCCCACAACATACATTCCTTTAAGTGTATTCATTGCTGATAAACCCAAAATATACTCGATTTTTGGGAGTCGACTTAATTTTGCATTGAGTTGCTCTCTGACTGCTCGATGGCCAAAGAAATGTAAAAAGAAAACCAGCTCAAGGAAAACGCTGACTTTGCCTGGGAAAGACTCAAGCGACGTGGCACTTGGAAGCGCATGTGCATAACGCCCATATTTGGCGGGGCTGCTCCTCTGGCTGAAAGGGATGGCAACATGAAGAGATGTTCAACGAAGGTGAAACTGAAAGCCAGTCGCTGTGGCAACCAAGGACCTCGTCCTCGTCGCTATTGTCGTCGCAGTCGTTGTATTGATTTTAGTGGGGCATTTACGCGCGATTATCGTTTAGTCGGCGATGCCCGAAGTATTACGAGAATTGTTATGGCCACCGGAATAGCGCCAACGACACGATACCACGATGTTGCAAGCAGTTGCCATAGCCCTCCCGTTTCTGCTTGCCTGCTGTTGGCCAACAAACGCACCACGGCACCAGCAGCTGCCTTCAGCTGTTCGTACTGCACTTCAAGTTGTTGCTCCCGAAAATTGGCATCAATGCGCCGTCGGTGTTTATCGAGCAGCGTTTATGGTCAACTCAGCTATTTTAAATAAGCCCTTTATGTAACCAGCAAATTATGGTTAATCAAACTTTAATCCAAGTGCTAAAAGATCAATACGTTTGACATGAGGTTGCGTCCTTCATATTTTATTTTTTAGATCTTGATCATTATATTATGAGGGGACTCCTTTATTTTCAGGAATTTATTTCTGTCAACCAGTTTCATATTTATCAGTGAGCAACAACATTTTTCCATTCTGTTTCTGCCCTGAAATGAAATTGAAATTATATATATTAACTATGAGGATACCTAAAGAAATGGGTAGATTATTTCGATTAAAAACGATATAAAACGATTAAAAAGCTAAAACGATCACCCTACTATGCGATTCTGATGATTTCAAGTAATATTTTCACGCTTTCATTTATAATTGTGTCTGCTTTCTTTCTTTTATTAATAGTTATGTTATAAGAATGCGAGCGTTTCTTGCGCTGCGAGCTGACCTTTCGTCTATTCCTTTTTTTTGCATAGTCCTTTGCTAATACTTAAGAGAATCCCCTATAGAAGCAGCAGGTAAAACTATAAAATTATGCCTCTAATTTCATAAATTAAAAAAATAAATTTGTGTCCCTTATCCTCTTATGACAAAAAATCATCCGCATTCAGTTAAAATAAAATTCATATTCATTTACTTACCTTTACATCGTTCACTTTGTCTAAAAATAGACATTTTATTTCTTCTATCGATTTCT